TTAAAGAGTATCCTACTGAATAACTAAGCATCAATCGGTTTACTTAGGTTATTTTCAATGCGAATGATATGATCACAAATCCCTTTTCTAGAGTGGGTTCTTCGAATCATCTCTAGACTAATATAGTTAACAATCATTTTGATGACATGATGACACAATTCAATTGATGTTTGTACAATTTGAGATGGTAGAGGTTTGTAGCTTTGGGGAATGATTTTGATCGAGTTTTGTTCTCTAAGCTGGATCGTTTGACCAGAGAACAAAACTCTATCAAATGTTTATGCAATCTTCCTCTTCCCATTTTCACAGATTAAACATATCTTACACACATTTTTATTATTATGACTCTTTCAAACATCGCGAGAAATTTTTCCAGCACGAACCCCTATTTACTAGTTCATACCTAATTCATATTATCCTACATACTAGGAGATTCGTGATTTGTAATTGGATTACTGTTTCTCTCACCCCATGTTAAACATATTTATTCTGATTAATAATTTCACAATTTCATTTAACATACAGACTTATTCAAGCTGTAGTGACCTACCTTTATGGAGATAACGCGATTGGTATGATGGAAACAATTATTATAACCAATTGTATTAGGGATTGTTTTACTGTACTTGTCTGTTTAAGTGTACTAAAAACACACATTCTTAAGTTGTCAGTGACCTTGCACGGGCTCGCGTACACTCAGTAGTCCCAAATGTAAACTTTGGCACGATCTCTGTATTATTTCGATACCACGAGATCGCCAACAAATAAATCTTAATACAATTTTCAATTGCCTTCTCGTATTTGGTCTACGAAGGGATCTAACCTGGTAATTGGCACGTAGTTTTCCTGTAGTGGTTATCATAGTTAACTGCGACTCGATACCATACTAAAAAGTCAATACATGATATTCGTCATATCAATAAGGATTCTACTTTATTTTATTTTATGTTGTAAATAGTCCTAAGTTCAAATGCCATATCTATAGCGATACGTTTCGCCTCAAACATGACCGTTTTTGGACCATTAAGTTCGATATATTATTGTAGAATTTGAAGAGAACTTATTAAAACGAATGTTTTATCTCGTCAAATATACGTGGTTTAATAATCTCTTGTGTCAGTCGACTTCATAAAAATTATGACAACCAGTTCGAAAAATGACAGAAGTATTACCCCAAAAGTAGGGAGAGTAGATAAATACAATCACCCTTTCGAAGATTACGAAAGTTCTGACTTTTAATTTTTTGCGGACTCTAATGTATAACCAACACATTCGTGGTTCTGAATTTTGTTAGCAGAGAAACCCTGAATAGATGGTAATCATATTATTGTTTAGAACCTAATTGGTAAGCCAACCCTGCATTGATGTACAAAAATAACCCCACAAAAATTAAAAGGTTTTTATTCGACTAATAGTCCTGATAAAATTGACGAGTAGTCCTGTTTTGCACGAAGTACTAATAAAAATACAAGGTTATTAGTGATGTTGATGAGAAATCTAAACACCATTGGAAATCACCAGGTGGACAGATCTGAAGCTTTGTAGCGCATTTCAGATTCCTGGGTATAATACTATCAAGCTGGTCATGACATTATTTAAGACCACCCTATAAAACCACAGCAGCGTTGTATTTCCCTTAAAGAATATCTCGTATTATAATCGTATGGCTCCACTAAACTCCTTTGTTCGAAATTAATCTGGCTAAACAATAATTTATTGGAGTCAGCATTTAAGCAATACGAAACACAAGCATGTCAATTTTCATGATCAATTGATGCTGAAGGCACTTTTATTGGCTAAATGTACAAACTGTTTATAGATCTATCCTGTATGAAATATGTTCGGAGTCGGTTGTTGACTATTATCTCCTTTTAAGTCATTAGATCATGATGAGTCGGGTTATTTGTCCTGTTTCAAAACGTTTGTGGTGTGTTTGTTAGTATTCCGAATTATTGAAAATCGCCTGATCGGACAAAATAATAGGACCTTACTGACAATGTTTACTCGTTAAAATGATACAGACCTTTTTAGACAATTACAGAGGTACGGAACCATGCGATTCATCGGCTAGTTCTTTAAGGGAATACTACATAATGGTAAACGTCATCAGGTGGTACTGAGACTAAGGTCATGTAATTTATAGTTATTGAGACTATATTATTGTTATTACTCAGACTCTTCACAATACACGATAAACGTTGACAACGTATTTAAAATTGATGTCACATATGATAATGCACACTGTTAATAAAAAAGCATAAGTACCTTCAAGACTTGTGTAGGTATCATAGGCTTACTTAAACTATTCAATCAATTGCATTAATCAGCTTCATTTGAATGGAAATTATGTGGCTGCTTGTTTTGCATAATCTTACACATTAGCCACGCCATCCAATGACCTCCTGGCATGGCTCAACTCTAACCTAGTGGCCTGGCTATCAATCTCTATTTGCACCTCAAGAGAATACACAAAGTGTGCTACATATTCGTCAAGAAAGAGTGGAGAGGGGCAGAGCGCGACCATGCAGTCGCGTGGTTTGACTCTTGATTTCTACTTACCATTCGTGTCATCCTTCATTGACGATGATCATTTTTCATTGATTATTAAGTCTAATGATCGGTCCTTCAAGATAAGTACGCGTCCATCTTGATGGGCAATTCGACCTGGATCTAGTGTTACTTCACTGAATCTACAAATGTTAAACTATCTATCTATCTATCAATCGGACGAGAGGAATATCCTTCATAGAATATGGTTCAGTGATGCATGATAGAGCTTTTTATTTAGTTGTAATTCCTAAAACTAAGGAGTGGGAGATTGATAAACTCTCTATTTTCAGGTGTTCATATTGCTACAACGTGTTTAGATACTTACTCCTACATTTCTCTCTTCTGTAAGCTAATAAGAGGTTTTGGTCAAATGACTGTTCACTGAACTGCGAGACAACCACTGATGCGAAACTTTTCAATGCACTGCAATTACTAGTCGTAGGTCATATCAAATAAGTCAGCTGATAAGGAAATGACACTCCTATCGTAGCCTCAGTCTAAATCATGTGGAAGATGTGAGAACCAGGGGAGGAGCTGGCATAGCTTCATATCACCACCTGGTTGCGGCCAAGATGAAACTAAAGCTAAAGAAACACATGACGACCGGAGCAACAGCATTACAAAGATTCAATACAGCCATCCTCCGACATACTGACAAACTCAACGGATTAAAGATAACTCACAACAACAGCTCCGAAGCCTTACGGGATCTACTGAAAAAAGAAGAAACTACTGTGGATTAAAACTGGAAAGAGATCAATGAAGCACCAACTTCAAAATGTCAGGTTCTGGGCCGCAAGAAGCAGCATAAAAAGAAATGGATCTCTATGAGAACTCTGAAGAAGATTCAATAAAACGAGAGCAAGAAGACAGTAATTAATAACATTTGAACGAGAACAGTGACTGTCAAGGCACGGGTCTAATACACAGAAACAAACAAGCAGTTGAAGAGGAGCATTAGAGCTGACAGGCAGAAATATGTGGAAAGCGGAAGGCTCTGTAAGAGAAGGTAATATGAAGCAACTATTTGACGTAACGAAGAAACTAGTGGAGAGGTATAGTAGACCAGAGATACTGGCCAAGAACAAGGAAGGCAGGTCAGCCAATCATATCCAAGAACAGAGGAACAGGTGGGTAGAGCACTGAGGAACTCTTGAATACTCCAGGTCTATTTAATCCACCGGGAGAGACCGCAAGCCGTCAGAGTTACCTATAATATATCTGAGTGATCTTGAATAGCAAATTCAGTGTCGCAAGAATCGATCCTAGAACTAATCCTATTCTTATACCCCATTGAAAACCTAGCTGGTACAATGGACACAGAAGACCCGTTAAATATATATGATCGTAAGATTTGGTAGAAGGTTCTAAGTCCTGTCGGCATTGTAACTCTTTAGGAAGATTCTTACAGCATTTATAACTAGATTACTAGAAATCTACCACCTCTTACTGCCAAAAAATGCGAAATGCCGGTGGTGAACCGTTTTAATGCTATTTTTACATAATACTGTCTAAATGATTCCAGTGTCACCCTCCCCACCATATAATAAGACTTCAGCATCATCCTATGTGATACCGTGAGTGCCCCCTTCCATCAGCAACCTGCAGCTAACAAAGCTGATCATTTTTCTGATTCACAGTCCAAAACCCACGTAAATTTACATCGGTATTACTCAAGAATGTTTTCGGTGACCACAACGGAAAAATCCCCTACGTTGTCTTCTCAGCCTAAGAGGAACATTATTTTCTTGAAGGGCTTTTGGAAAAGAACAATCGAAAAACGTCTAAAAGGTTTAAAATCCAGATCCTGCTCAGGTCCCCTGGGGACTTTTATTTGGGTATGAGTACAACAGATAATATCACCTTAAAAATAACCGTTTCATTTTTATACTGAGCTACACCCAAGAGGATATTCACTTAGTATAGAACAAAAAATAGCTCACGTAAACCTTTTAACAAACATTTTCATGGAAGGGATTGCCAAATTTAAGATTCCTTGTAAAAAAACAATGATGCCAAAGACACATTTTAAGAGTCTTCCAAAGGAAAACCCAACGTTTAGCTTTGTCAGTATTGAGGAGAATTACTCACACAACTTTTTGAACTATATTTTACCTCCATTTACAGAAGGAGCAATGTAAAGGCAGAATCTTTTCATAGCCATAAACGTCCTCCTGCCACCCGAACGATTGTCCTAAGAAACGAATAATTCACTAACCCCAACTAGTAAAGTTTGAAGTTTGAAGCTGTGATAATGAGTAAATTGAATCTTAGCAACTAAATTCAGTTGAAAAGCTGTAGGTTTTTCTAAAAATCACGAGATACGGTCAAATGTACTACGTCGACATGATAACAGATTGTCAGGAATGCCCTTGAAAACTGGCAACGCAATTAATCGACACGTGTTGGGCGCTTATTTTGTACCTAGTCTCAACTTTTAGACATTAGAGATGGGACTTTTGGATATGGATTTATTTGCTGACTTTAAACGTATGAACAAAAGACAGGTATTTGCCTCGATATAAATTTTATTAACAATTATATCTAGGTATACTATCAGGTGTTAACCATTGCTATGGTTGTAGCCTCTGCCCTAATGATCTGGAAGCTTTTAGTAGTTATTAGCTATAGCGAAAGTCCTTTAGTAGTTGTCTTAAGGTATACCCACCTAAATTCACAAGCTTTGTTTGATTTTCAGTGGCAGTATGGAGCCTGCATTCCACCGGGGTGATGTGTTGTATCTAACTAATTATCCTGATGAGCCCATCCGAGTTGGTGACATCGTTGTATTCAAAATTGAAGGGAGAGAAATTCCTATTGTTCATCGCGTTCTGAGACTGCACGAAAAGTTTGTTTATGCTTTAATAGAGTGGACATTAAGTCTCGTTTTTCATATGGAAAGATGCTATTTCCCTAAACATCTTTACTGAAATAAAGGGATAGGTGTATAAATCGTTATAAAATATCTTCATTTCATTCCAGGGCTGTGTGGTTCTTTTGATTTACAGCCGGTAGAGTTTTTAAACCCATTTATTTAGGACAACTTGATAATGAATAATGATAATAAATCTTCCAACTGTGGAAGTCTTTAGGAATTTTGAGAAAATGCTGAAGAAGATGTGAACAAAACCACAATATTCTTAATGGCCTGGGGTTTTCCTCCAAACAAGCTGGAATCTTGCGAAAATTCTCAAAACCTGTATCTTTAATAGTTCTCCCCAATACGTCCACATAGTTAACATTAAATTTACAAAAACATTAGGCCGATTCAACCAATTCCATCGATGAATCCCTGAAAATTCAATATTTACTTCGTTAAAAGACTCAGTGTTTCCATGGAATTCGAGGAAATCCTGCAATGTTCATTTTGAAATACCAGGTTTCCCATAACTTTGTTGAAAAAACAACAAAATCTCTAGGTTTTGGGAAAAAAACTGAAAGTTAGAAAATTGCTGAGCACCCAATTAATATTACAGTACACCGAACCACCCTTTTCACCATTTACTGTGTTTTTGCCAGAACAGTGTATTTGCTTATTGTACGTGCATCATATTTATCTAGAAAATGCCAGTGCTTTCAAAGCAAAAATAGTAAAACCAATGTTATTTTCTACAGTTGTGTAGTTTATATAGTGACTGCTGATAAATTGTGTTCAGGATGTCACACTATAAATAATATTTTTATCATGTGATATCAAGTTATCTACTTAAATTCAAAAAGTCCTCAGATGTTAGCAGAAATCAACAATAACACTGTTTGAATGTTCCGTAAAGTTTTTGATACACGTTTCTACGTAACATTTATCATGAAAGTAATTAATATATTGATTGTCAGTCACTTTGCCTCAAGTGATCTAGGGTTTCTTTATAGTTGTATTAACACGTCAAATACTAACACATCACTTGTATCTTAATTTCGAGTTCTATGAAACTAGAGATTATCGATAAGGAATGCTTGACAACTTTAAGTAAAATATGAGTTCTTAACAACGTTCCTATCCAGATGATGTATATTTCCTGTGAGTTTCTTGATATGCAACTTGAAAATGTATGACACATTCTCGTAATCCTTTTTAGTGTCAACGGTACCATCAAGTTTCTCACAAAGGGAGACAATAATCCTGTTCATGATCGTGGTTTGTATGCTCCTGGTCAAGATTGGCTGACACCATCCCATCTTATTGGACGAGCTAGAGGGTAGGTTTATAATTGGTCTTGCCATTTATGCTAAGACCAAAGTTTAGTTTCATTTAGATTAAACTTACAGGTCTGTGCACATATCACATGCAACCCTTTAATTTAGTAAGTAGTTTGCGTAAACCCGTAGAAATTAACTAACTTCAATCCCTTTACCTTTCAAATAATCTTGTATTTATCAATACATTTAATACTAGTAAAATTTTGGACTTAAAACTAAACTACTTCCCAATGGTTAGCTGATTTCATGATTTTTAATCAACAATGGTAGTTTATTCAACCTATAAACAGATCAAAAATTTTCGAACGACGAAAAAGTTCTGGCTTTTATGGGTTCTTTGTTGGTTCTCATTCTTTTAAACAAGATATTCTAATCTAGAACTTTCCGTTGATTTTTCATACAGTGTTCTTAAATAAAAAGAACTTCTTTGCCAGACGTAGCACAAATCAATTCCGTAGTTCTGCAAGTCTCAGTGCAATTATTATGTCAGCGGCACTGACTAAAAATATACGAGTTTGGATTTTGTCAAATTGCGTTGCCTATGACTCAGCTAAGGTGCTTGTCTCTTAAACAAAGGACGAGTATATTATGGAGCGATTCCGTCTGTTTAACTTTGTGGCTATGAAATATGGTCTTCCTGTAGATTATAAGTTTCAATATTATCTCATATCTCTTACCCGAGGAAATTCATTTTCAAATCATCTCTAATATTACTGGTACAGTAATTCTGTACTATATAAAGGATAACCATAAATGTGATTGTACAACTCTGTTGAGTGATATTATCGAAAAGACGTCTTCATTTTGCCTAATGACTCGATGGGCTTGTTTGGTTATTTTAAAATAAGGTCTACCATGAAACACTAAGTTCATTATTGAATAGTTGTATTTGTTAAGATTTTAAATAATCCCACTTTGTTTTGTATTTTTTTCAGTCAATCAAGTTAAATCCACTCTTTACTTACTATTTTCAGATTCATACCTTATGTTGGTCAAATCACCATACTTATGAATGAAAATCCCCGTCTTAAAGTACGTTCCATACTATTTAGTTCCATTTTAAAGTAATGTAATATTGAAAAATATTACGATTACATATTTGAAAATTTTAATTTTAAAAGTAATAGATTTTAAAAAAACGGATAATTTTACTACATTTGTTCACTTATCAGTTTGTATGATGGTAGTACTTTATTTATTTATTCGAACACATAAATATTGGTACAAGAGAGCGCCAATATATATGCGCCACACAAAACAATGAGAATTCGAAGAGAAAAGAAAAAAAGGTAAGGAGCGTAAAAAAAAGAGAACAATAACGAAGAGATTGGTGTAAGGTAGTATGGTAGTAATGAGGGAACGCAAAGGTACAATCGGAAATCTTTCAGGTAAGGGAGACACAACCACTTTTTATGAAGAAAGTAAAAGAAGGTTACAGCAGGATCGCCATTGGCTTCTATTCTGAGCCATATCTGATAACGTCTCTAGCCACTGTGTAGCACCATCTCTCGGACCCCAACCAGGGAGTCGTGAAGGACCAACAGAAGCCAGCCCTTTGCAGCTTTCTTTCATACCACGACACCATGTCATGCACTGACCACCTCTCCGCTTCTTCCAACCAGTCTCAGAATCGGCAAATAATGCACGACGTGGAATTCTCTGGGACGACATTCGGAGAACATGTCCAAGCCACCGAAGTCGGTGTTTCAAGATGGCGACACCAATTGAATTATCATCTCTGTGCCCAAACACACAATGCCGAACCTCTGCATTACTGACATGATGTTGCCACTGGATGTCAGCAATCCTTCGGAGACAGCGATGATCGAACACAGAGAGTCGTCTAACGTCCTCAACTCGGAGAGGCCAGATAGTACTTTATGTTGATATTGATTGCTTGTCCTTGCCATTAAAAGATATGTTTTTTCCCTATTATTTATTGGTACAAGGAGGCACCAAACAGATATGCGCCAGATAAATCGCTCGGTTTTTGTGAGGGCTGAGATACTTAATGGGTGCCCAAACTGAAGCAGTTGGTCTTCTTAGGGGGGCACACTCGGAGCCTTCGACTTAAAGGTCTGATCCACAGGGTAGTGGAACAATGTCAGGAAATGCAGTCCAATGGTAGCTGGTGACTAATAATTAGTTCATACGCCATTTGTTCCCTCAGGATACTGGAGCCCGTGTGCACCATTGGTTTGGGATCCGGTTAAAGCGCTGGACATTCTCTTTTCGTCCTCTCAATTTCGTAAACATCACCCCCACCGCGAGAAGTCACTGAGTTGGACTTCCCTGGCAGAGGCTATATACGCGTAGCCATATGGAAGCACTTCGGGAGGGAGAGCGAACTCCCCACTCTCGACCGTACCAGGGCATTTGGGAGCACTTCCCTTAACAATTAATCTAAATAATAGTTATCATGTATTTTACTCGTATGTGATATTATTGTAACAAACTTCCAAACCTAACCAACTGTTAAAATGATATACGGAAATCAAATAATCGTGAAGTGACATTAGGTTGTAAGATACTTTTACTTAATGTTTATCTAAATGTGGTAATAAGACCTTGGATTACATGACTCAGACGCATTATTTCATTATTTTCCTCTTGCTCTTGGATTCTAGTATGCTCTCATATATGCTATGAGGGTTTATTCCTTATTTTTGTCATTACTACATTATTTCAATCCTTTCCTTGTTGTTTTCTCGTGGTTGGTAATCCGGTTTGATAACTTGAATCAACACACTTCTGTGCCATACTCTATATTAAGAAAGTCTGAATGTTTTAACCATTAAAATCAAATACAACATCAACGCTATTCCTTATTTGTTAATCTTTTAACCGATAAATCACCTCTCCACTGTCTAGAATTGCAAATAACATGAAATTATAGTAAATCCCAATTGTTTTCAGTAGAATATTTAATTGTGTAGTGTCGTTTAAACTACTAATCAAAATCTTTTTCCATATTTATATTTATATGTTCTTTTTCTACTCACTTTTAGTACTCTGTCTTAGGCGTTATGGGTATCTACTTATTATTGAATAGAAATCAAGAGTAATAAAACTTGTACAAATGTACAGAAACATTATATATATATATATATATATATATATATATATATATATATATATATATATATATATATATATATATATATATATATATATATAAGTTTTAATTCCTATGTAACCATAGTCACTTTTTTATTTTATGAAAACTAACCACTGATCGTGTTGTTGTTCAACTGCTAATGACAAGTCAGACGCCTTTTTAGTCAAGTGATTTGTACTTCCTTTTTGTTGCTACTGTTATTGTTGTTTTGTTTTTTTTTTACTTCTAACCGTGATGCTTATTGTCGATGTGTTTGAAGTTAATTTCAGGTTTATTATTTTTCCAAACAAAGCGCTATCTCTCTGGGGGTGGAGGTATTTTTTTCATCGTCTTTCTCTTTAACCTCTGGCGACCTTTAATTATTCAAGCTAACGTCCATAGATATGAGGCGATAACTGAGCAGTAATAATGGTGCTCAATTTTCGGCCAACTTGATCACGGTTTCAAATTGTGCACTCAACTTCTTCAGTTAAAGTAACTAGGTCGTATCATATTAGCCTTCATATAAATAGAGTGTTGTTCAAAGCCAAGCATACGAATCTATACTTCCTAGTAAATGAGTCAGTCTGTACCTTATAGATAAATTTTAATTTCAGTAAGTGATTTCTATAAATCTGGTATCCGTTAAATTTCATCCATCCATTCATTCAAATACCTGGGAAGCATAATTGACGAACAAGGAGGTTCATATGCAGACGTAAAGGCGAGGATTGTCAAAGCAAGGGTCGCATTCCTACAGTTGAAGAACATATGGAACTCAAAACAACTTTCAACCAATATCATAGTGAGAATCTCCAATACGAATGTCAAGGCAGTTCTACTGTACGGAGCTGAAACTTAGAGAACTACAACAACCATCATCAAGAAGGTGCAAGTATTTATAAATAGCTGTCTATGCAAGATACTCAACATCCATTGGCCGGATATCATCAGCAATAGCCTTCTGTAGGAAAGAACAAACCAGCTTCCAGCTGAAGAGGAAATTAGGAAAAGACGATGGAAATGGATAGGACGTACACCACACAAATCGTCAAACTGCATCACGAGACAAGCCCTAACTTGGAGTCTTGAAGGGAAGCGGAAAAGGGGAAGCCAAAGAACACATTACGTTGGGAAATAAAAGCAGATATGGAAAGGATGAATAACAAATGGGAGGAGCTGGAAAGGATTGCGCAGGACAGGTTTGGATGGCGAATGCTGGTGAGCGGCCTATGTTCCTTCACGAGGAGTAACAGGCGTAAGTAAGTAAGAAAACGAAGTAGTTATGACTAGATGTTCATACTATAGAAATAAACCACTTGTCTGTAGTGTTTTTTTTCTCAGACTAGATAGTCAAACAATATAAAACATCTGATCGCGTTCTTATTGAAAATTTGCATCACAAAAAGCTAACATTTGACAGTGTAACAGAACTTAAAAAATCTATTTTAAAGGTTATGGTTTTTTCGCACATAATTCAACTTCGGAAGAGAAAGAAACAGGATTTCATCTCTTTCTCTAATTAACAAATAACAAAGCTGTGTGATGCATCCAAGTTATTTGACAGGAAAGAAGAATAGTTTGTAAGTGAACTAATGTGGTTTTATTGTATTATACACCATTCAGGAAACTAGCATTATTCACAAATTGATTTTAGTCAGATGCGTATATAATTGGATGTCGGCCCTCTACAATGATTAAAGGTGCTTGGTTCGACCCCTGGCAGGGTCGTGGATGTATAGTAATTAATCGAAGGAAGGTTTGAGAAAGTTGGACAAAATATTATTCCACATGTACTCCACGTATAGTGGCATGAATTTTATTTCCACTATTCTGGGAACGAGCTTAACTTTTATGGTTGCAAAAAGAGTTAAGTTTCACATATGTTCGTAAATCTCATCTATGTGTGTATGAGATAGTGTTATGATGAATGATGTTCTAGATCTGGGGCTGATACACAACATACTACGTACTAACCCTCCAACTAACTACGTAAACGAAAAATATCTATTGGGCTGCCAAATAACATGAATAAGTACTCATTTATGTATATAGATTTCTACGCGTTACGTAATCAATGGTATGCATTCGACCTTTTAAGGGCATTTCTGATTGTCATTAGGTGACCTCATTTGACAACTTTTAACTGGCTCACTATATCAGATAACCTAACAGTAGTTTTATTGCCAGGACTATTAAGGAAATGCGCGTGTTTTCGTCTGTTGGATAGGTTGATAATACTTGTTCGGTTGCACAAGCTTTAGCAATGGAGATTCGTAAATTCCAACCGATCTACAAGGTTTTAAAAAGTAATTCTACTCAAACACCTAACTGTAAACAGAATTGAACAGTAATTGTTGTTTACATTCGTTATCCTGTTTGGTAATTAAACTTTAGACAACTAAAATTACTGGTCCTATTTCAATTTCAGTAAAATAGAAATTCCAATTCAGGCATATAGTAAGAAGTATTTAGAGTGGAACAAAAAATACTTCTTTTAACTAGTTTCTTATTATAGATATATACTATTTATTTATTTAAACACATAAACATTGGTACAAGGGGGCACCAAACAGATATGCGCCACATAAATCACTCGATTTTTGTTAGGGATGGGGTACTGATCGGGTGCCCGAATTGAAGCAGGTGGTTTTCTTAGGGGACACACTCAGAACCTTCAAGCTAAAGGTCTGATCTACAGGGCAATGGGGCAACGTCTGGAGATGCAGACCCATGGTAGCCGGTGACCAATAATTAGTTCATGCTCCATAAGTTTCCTTAGGATTCTTGAACCCATGTGCACCATTGGTTTGGAACCAGGGTTTCCCAACTCTCTTAGGTGGACATTCCGTGTCCACTAATCCGATTAAAGCGCCAGGCATTCTCGATTTCGTAAACAACGGTAATGCCGCGAGATGGCAGTGATTAGGACCTCCCTTGGAGTGGTTGTATGCACGTGCCTATGTGAGAGCATTTGGAGGGGGAGAGCTGACCCTCCCCACTCTCGGCTGTACCAGGACATTTTGGGGCCCATAAATAGGAGAATATGATAATCAAAGTAATTATTTGTGGACAACTGAAAACATGCAATTCAATAGTTGATAGATTACACTATTTACTAAGTGAATTAGCAAAGCATCTCGATAAAAAGTCGACTTGATAGTTACGTATAAATAAAGAGACGAATACTAAAGTTATGTAGTGAAAAAGTGAAATTACGAGAAAGAGGGGACGTGATCTCCAATCCATTTTTCTATGGTTTATATCGATACCCAAGGCAGAGAGAGAAGTTTTACCAACTTTTGAATACGAAGATTCCGTTGATAATTGTGAATTTTGATCGTTTTAGCGGCATACTAATGATAAACCCGTAAACTATATGTTATTTTTCCATGGAATGCGATGATGAGTCCCAATGACTGTCAAAATCAATCAAGTGAGCAAAAATAGAACTCTTGGATGTCCTTTGCTTAACCACTTCAGATGGCGTTCTGCAGTAAGATAATGAACTTGCTGGTTTCTACTTCTAATGCAATTGAGTCCACTAGGTTTAATCGACAATTACTGTTCTGTACTCGATACCCATGTTGATGTGTACTTGGTAGCAGTTTTATTCACTCGTCACTGTGCTACATATTATCTATATTTTGTTATGACTCTTTGTGTCTCATTTTCCGCTTCTTTTTTGCTGATAAGATATGCGCAGTCTTACGAACTATGTGGTAGTGAAACATATAGTGTATATTTATTTGGTATTGCGAGTTTTTTAATCAGTGCGTAACGAAAAAACTATTCATCAATGGTTTATATACAATGTCTATAGGTTGGTCCTGTAATTAATTTTCTGTGGGTTTTGCTTTAAAGCGACTGTGAATAAATGCCTAACAATTGGGTTGAACCGAGTAACATAGGAGTGCTTTCGAAAACCGCCGGGTTAATTTTCTAATAAATTCCAATTTATTTCAATATACTGTCTTAAAGTCGTTGCTCAGTCAGGACAATCATCCAGTAATGGCATTGTGAAATTCCTATTTACATCAAGTCAGAAGTAGGAGACCTCAATGTCGCAACAACAGATAACTTGTCCCCATGGCTGTACTGTAATTTTTTCATCACAAGATAACGCAATTAGGAAAATCACACTTCTCATTATATTAACCTAACGACAATACGTCTACAAGTCGAGCCCTTATCTACCATCATGGATGTTAGCAATTTATCAGCAGTTAGATCTGACGAATCTTAACTAAAACGGCCTGTTATTACTGGATTCCCATTAGCAACAATATATGAAATTGAATGTGCAAGATTTGAATTGTTTCAATTCAGCACTAACATAAACACATATTTGGGTTAACTGTACGCTAAGCTCCCTGTTTCAAGATAGTTTTAAAGAACAAACGTTGATAGTCGATTTCCCCCTTTTGTTACCAAAAATAACCCCACTTATAGCTTCCATTAATTTATGCTATTTAGAAATCACATATTTTCGTCCCGTCATTATGAGTTATTGATACAGATTTATTTAATAAATTCGGATGTTTCAGCTGTTGTTTCCATAGCTGAATTTACTCTGCTCTATATTACGTCGTTATTGTGGCTGAGATTCTTTGCACGGTTGACGTCATAGCATAAGTACTTGTACGTCGAGGTCGCCAAACGCGCATCCCATGGAATTCAAGTCATCTGTATACTTATGTAAGAAATCAAGCCACGACTTTGGAACCAAGTTTCTCGACGGTAATAATTTAATGCACGTGACAGTGTTTGGGATATGCTTTCCTCTGGCTACTGATTAGCACTGTCCCCATACCATATCTTATGGGAGCACTTAGGAAGATAATGTTCAGTTCCTCCGCCATAAGATAGACATGACAGCCTGTGACTTGTCACACAAACGCCATCAACGACAAGCCGTAGGAAAAAAACTAATAATATTATTCCAGATGCTGACTAGAAAGTACTTAC